ATTGTATTCAAAATATGCTTGAAATTTTGAGAATTTTATTCCTTTTAAGAAAGATTTTAGCTGAAAAAAATTTTAATAAAAATTTGTTACACATCGTTATACATAATAAATCATTTTTTTAAATATGCTTAATTACATATACCTCTCTTCAAATAAAATAACAGTGGTTCAATAAATTTTCGCGCCAGAATATAACATGATTGATAACGAAACAGACAAAAATTGTTTGCTTATGTTTCAAATCAAGTATACCTATATTCATTTTTATCACGAATCATATCTTTTATATACAAAAAACACTCACTTAATATTTAATTAATAAAGTTAAACTTAATTGAGCATATAATTAAAAATAAAAAAATATATATATAATTAAACAAAATTAAACAAAAAATAATTCCGCGAAATATATATATAATGAATATATGATATAATGAAAAAAAGAGAAAAATGTGAAATATAAAAAAAAGGCAATAAAGAAAATAATAATAAAGAATATAAAAATAAAACAGTCAATAATTAAAATGTTAAAACATGTTACGAAATTGTGAAATTTTAACATGTGCGACATTACATAATTGAATTAGAGGATTGCAAATAGTCTACTAAAGGATCGATTAGACTTAATTTAGCGCCATGACAGACGTACTCGTGGCTGGAAAGTTGGCTAGCGGGACGGCACAGAGACAAGAGACATACTCGTACCATCTAATTCAACCTTTGATGATCTCAAACCTTTGGTGGCTTTACACTTTTAAATTCTGGCGGTACACATTGATTATGATTCTTGATCATAATCTTTATTTTATATTTCTATATTAATGTTTTGAAATTCGATCTTGATGTATCTTGCTTACTTTTTTCGTGAAGAGATATTATATGATTTAATTTATAAATATATCCGTTTTGGCCAATGATGAAAATATATATGTTAATTTTATAATTTTTTCAAATAAGAGAATTCTATTATACTATAATATAATCGATCAGATATATATTTCTTTTGTGCTTTTTTTATCAGCTTTTCAATTATAATAATATATACTTGTTATAATTGATGTAGTGTGCAGTATGAACTTCGGTTGCGTATAAAAATAGGTCACATAAAGCTGCAATTCTCTAAACCCTTTGGTAAATTCTTTCAATTTAGTGGCGCCACTTGACACCGGTGAATTTCTGTATTTTTCAATATACGCCTTTTGTACTAACGGAAAAACTTTATCTAGATTCAAAATATATTTTGATTATATTTAATGTTTTCCTTTTTTTATCAATCGATACAAATTAAAAATACATATGATTAATTTGCATGAATAATTATCAATTTTTCTTAATTTGCTTATTAATTTTTATATATAAAAATTAAATGGAAAATATAATTCCTATATTATAATATATTCCTATATTCCTTCTGCAATCGACTAATTAGACATCACTATTAATCTAAGCAATTTTGAATGTCCCTGTTATTTATCTTAGACAAAAAGTAGACTAAAACTTACCTGATAAACGGTGTTCATACTCCTTTCATGAGTTGTAATGGTTCTCTTTCTTTATGTAATTTGTATAGAAAATAGTTTGCCGCACATTTTAAGTGTTCGCGCGTTTTTTTTATAATATAAGAAATAATACCACGGTAGCTATGACACTGTGACGTTTTCGTGATATGATGATGGTAAATCTTCATTAAAATTCGAAATTACTGATTTTTTACGATCGATGACTATTCTATCGCGATACACTTGTATACCAAACCATAAAGTGTATGATGTACCAGATGTTGCTGCTTCATGATTTTTAACAATTGTTTTGTCCATATTTCAATATAAATTTACGTCTTCAATATATTAATAAAGAGCAAATCCATTTAACAACTGCGACGGATTCCATCGCTGCTAAATGACGTTTCGTCGAATCGTGTTTATTTTCCTTTGCAATGCAGATAATAAATTGACAGACAATCATGAGAATTTTAGAACATATGAATAACCAAGAGATCGCTCCCTGGAATCGATTTTCATGAATTTTCATTGTATTACGATTACGTTCGAAAGACCGGGTGACGGAAGCATATTGCCACTGGCATGAGGATGATCTATATTATAAAACATCACTGATTTTTTCTTTCACTAATCTGCAGCACTTTGATCGTTTGGCAAATGTATTTTTAGCGAGAAGTCTCGAACCGCTTTGAAACGTTGGCCACATGTCGTGCGCAAAATAAACCGATCAGTTTTCAGTTAATGACAAACCGTTTCGATGTTCTTGATAACATTATAGTCTATTTAATTACCTTCCTAATTGCATGTTTATCTATTGTACATTTCAATTGTGTTCTGTCAGCGAAAAAAGGAAACAATACACCTGACGTAAAAATCCGACAAAACGACGATGAAATGACACTCCTCCGTCGGTTAACACTGAACTGTTCCCTCGTTGTATTCCCCTTGTGCGATCCGTCTACGTTCGCATTATATATATAACCCCCACTATTTCGTTTCAGCTGGCGCAGCAGCCGACGCTGTCACTACTTGTATGTATGTGTATATGTATACGCATATATATATAATATATAATATATAATATACATTTCTATACTATCATGATACATATGCGCGTTATACTGAATCACGTGGAAGAATGTATTTGGCGCAGAGTAGGTGTTTCTATCGATCTTTCAAACATCTGCGTAGCGATCGTTTCTGATCGAACGATCAAACGATCAATTAAATTTGAATATTAAATACATTATAACTGCGTCATTGATTCAAGAAAGATTCAAAGGAAATATATTTGATTTAAAAATTATAAAATTTTTAATTCAATATAATAATGTACAATGATTAGTTTAAATTACAATGTAAATTTAAAGATATAAAAATTTTATTCGAATAAAATGATACAAACAGAATAAGTGATACGTGTTATATGATTCATTTATTTTATTGAATATCTTCTTGAAGCATAATATCGAATTATATAATTATGGAATTATTGATTTTGCAATAAGATCATCGTAAAAAATCAAATATGAATAAATAATTAAAGTAATATTCGAATTAATATAACTAATAACAAATTTATTAATTACAATATTTGAATTTATAAATATTTTTTTTGAAACTTTTTAACAATTTAATATAAAATGTTTAATAATAATTTATTACCAATTATTATTCTTGATTTTAAATCCACATCAACTATAATAAAAAAATAATGTAAAAAAAAAAGAATCTTGCCCAAATGATAAAAAAAAAGTTTAATAGCATCATTGTTAAACATTAAATGTGAAGTTAAGTTACAAAATTATTTAAATAGAAATAATATACTTTTATACAGTGATTTGACAAATATTACCGATTCACCATAATGACGATTAATATTGTAAGGATTAAGTCCATATTTGAATTAAACAAAAAAGGATTGATCAACGAATGAAAATCGAATGATAAATCTTTCAAAATACATTAACTCCGATTTTCAAATTAATTTTTGATAAATTTTTTTAAGCAAGGAAACCAATGCAGGATTAAGGGTAGTAGATACGAGGGAAAGTTTAGTTAGTAAATCAATCGGTTTATAAGGTAGTTTTTCAAACTGTTCGTTATTATTCGTATTCAATAATGGAATAAAATCAATGCGAATTGTCTCTTAATTTTTGTTAACTTAATGTTCTCATAACAAGTGGAATCGATCGATAACCATGCTCGACAGACACCATGTGGTTTTCTCTCTTTCTAACCATCGTCATTTCAACTATCTCTCGCCTCGTCTTTCAGCGACCGGAGTATTGATCCAACCGAGCAATACTTATACATACAGTGTATGTAACATTGTAAACGACCACGGTTGCCTACGAATCTTGGAAAGGAATTGTAAACAACGTTGTCCGAATTTTCTTCTTTTTAATCATAGGTATGTACCACATATTGTTGAGGTTAAGATAAGTATAATGCAGGAATTACATGTGCAATTACTGAATGCGTTGCGTAATGCGTAAAGCGCTTAGGAGAGACGAGAGAGGGAAGGAAGGTCTAGAATAAAATTGAGCCATGACCTATACAGAAACAGATCATTTTATAATTTCATAAAGCAAATTTAAATCTATTTTAATCGATGGGGATTAAGTTAAGAATTCGATAATCGACGATTTAGCATGGGAAATTCTATTAATATATAAAATCAAAATAAGACGATTTAATCATTTATATTCGTTTTATGTCACTCTACTCTCACTGAGAATATATTCTTTTATTTTATTATTGTAATTTCGATATTTTATAATTTTTTTTTCTTAAATAAATGAACGTAATTATATTTTAATTATCTTTTGAGTACGTTGCAATTTATTGATATATAAATATTATTACGTAAATAACATATATAATAAGTATTTTGAAATGGAAAATATAATTTTATGTTGATTCGAATGTAGTCGTTTGAGTCGTTTCATATATCGACTATAAAAATATGAAACAACTGGTTTTAGCAGTTTAAAAGTTTGTTCATATTTTTCAAAATAAATATTAAATTCATTCTACTTTGAGAACTAAATTAAAATATACAATTTTCAAATTGATACAGCAATAAAGATAAATAATTTCCTCATTTCTAAATCAAAAAATATATTCATATTCAAAAATAAATATATAAAATAAATAATGCAACAATACTCTAAAATAATGGAATGAATATGAATTTTTAATAAAAATATCTTCAATATCGATTCCTATATTTTTTTTTAATGAAAAAAGTAACAATATAAATAATACAAAAACATTAAAAACATTGAAAAATCTTGATTCTATTTATAACAAATCTTTTAATCCTTATGTATTCATTCAATTTTAGTACAACTGAAATGTTAACTTATGATCAATAAAAAAAGAGAATTATCTACATTAATTAAATTTGCGCGTCTAAAAAAATATATTTCATATTTTTCTATGAAACTTTGAATTAATTAAAAAAAAGAAATACTTAAATAACAACACGCATTAATATTACAAATATTGCAAATTTTTCTAAAAGTACAAATTCTATTGTGTTCATTCATGGTATTTCTTTTCAGTCTTTAAATCTTGCACGATGCTGCGAATTTAATACAATTATATTAAAGCTAATATATCGATCCCGCCTATCCATCCACTTTGATATCGATTAATCAAAAATTAATTCGAATTATAATTAGAATTAAAAAATATTTCTTCATATATATAATGTATATATGATCTAATATTTTGTTAGTTTTCAGTAACTAAAATTATTATCGTCAATAATCAATGATTAGAATTATTACGAATTATTAATAATTGTACTCGATATTATCTGACGATCAAAATAGCAAGATTTTTAATGAAATTTCCGATATGTTTATCGATTTAAGTTTCATGAATGCGTCCCTTTGCTCATCCATGCGATCTGACACAAAGCTTCTATCACAATTCAACGTTAGATCCGCTTCGACGGACATAGCGGTTGAAATAATCGGGACGCCAACACTTGCAGCTTCCTGGTACCAGGAACCAGTCATAATACAATCTCACCTGTAACGAAAATATATAATGGAATTAAAAAACAGTTTTTTCTTACTTTAAAATCCATAAAATCTATTCAAATTGTTCGAATCGAACCTGGAAGCAACCCATTTCATCAACACCATCGCAATGATGCTGTGATCCACTGTTCCGAGCTTCGTTTTCACCAGCACGCTTTTGTAAATATTGTTGATAATTTTGAAAATCGTGAACAGGTGGTGGTGAACCTGCAATATCTCTTAGACCATTGATTCTAGAGTTTTGGTTTTCTTCCACGAATGTATCGGGATAGAAAATTTCCGCTACTAGCAAGCTAGTCCATCTTGGTGATGATAGACATCCACCATCCAAATAATGACATCTTGATTGCCTATAAAAATGATTAGACGTTAATAATCATTCGATAATAATAATTAATTATAATATTTCAATCTATATATATTACATGCATCTGGTTACTTCAATAGTCTGTGTGAAATAACCCTCGTAAGGTATTTGAACTACGTAACGCCAAACTCCTTGATAATTCTTGGCGAACACAGGTGTCGCGTATTCCACTTTAGCTGGACAAGGAGTAGGTGGGCCAGTGTACTCTGGTTTCTCTTGTGGCGGTGTTCGTTGACGATACTCGGGAGTAGAAGGCTCGTCACGACGCTCAGCTGCTGATGTAGCCAATGGCTCACCTTGTATAGCCTTGTACAGCATACAAACTCTTCAATATAAACAGGAGATTATAATTGTAGATACGAATTTAAGTTAGTTAGTTAGTTGATTTGATGATTGTTAATATTTGATAACTTACACTCCTCCACCGTTCTCGCAAAATTTACGACCATTTCTGAGAGTGTCTAACGCGCTTTCTGAATCGGATGATCGTTTACTTCTGCTTCGTTTCTCATCAGTGTCTACACTAATATTTGAAAAAAAAAAATATATATTTTATATACATTTTATAATATTAAAAATATATTATATAATAATAAATTTTATAAAATAATATAACGAGAAATTAAAATTTTTATATGTTTACTAACGAGTTTTGGAAGTACGAATGAACTGTGGCCACTTTCGGTAATGAATCATCAGCCTTGAGTATGGGCAATGCTTTGCTCAAAAATTTCAGCGTGTGATTTTTCAATAATGCACTATAAGAAAAAAAAAATGTAATAAATGTAAAAAAAAAAGATATAATATAGAGAAATTAAGATTTGTTACGAAAATTTTATATTTTACACTTACAAAGGATATGACGAACCATTGAAATATTGATTCATAGGATTCCGTGGAATATAACCCTTATTAAGGTCTCCACAAATATTGTGAACAGAAACGAAACCTTTTCCCTGTTTACCGGTATCTAAAATTTTTACTCGTTAATTTATTAATACATATACAATTTATATAAAGAAACAATAGAAAAAAATTATTTTTTAATTATTTCTTCCGTAATATTAACGTTACTAAAATAGCACAACATGTACCATAGCACTCTTTATCGCTGTCTATGTAAGGTGGTGGTCTCACTTTAGGCGGTTCTGCATTTGGTGATTTAACAAAAGCGTAATATCCTTCTGGTGGTTCATTAGATTCCGTTGTCGAATCGACGTCATTTGATTTCGTTTGTTTCGTATCCGGATGTTCATTTGCATGACACGTAAGGCACAAAAGTATCAGCTATAAATTTGATATTTATTATGTCATATTATTCTTTTATAATCGTACTTTACACTAATCGTTTATTACATCGTTCAATCGTAACACTTTTTTTTTCTCTCATTCATTATAAAATCATGAAAATCAGACGAGGCATAGTTAACCTTAACCTTATTACAGCGGCCGAATTAAAATCTTAACCTAAAACAAACGGAAGATCTGTCAGCATTTCATAGATCCAACAAGTTATTGTCTGCAACAAGAGGGAAACATTATTCGAATATGAAGGGATCAACGGGATCAACGGGATATAAATATCACGTTGTTTGAACTAGCTTGTCTGTCAATGATCTCTCGGCTCTACACGTTTCGCTCTTACAAGACATTCCCCGTTAGTAAGATACCAAGGTGTATCGTATTCGGCCTTAACGGTACTCGGTCCACGCTCCATGGACTATTAATATCCGAGACTATAGTCTTGTATACTGACTGCCCCACTAAGCGTGCACGACCACTAGTCATCATTGCATTCTTTCGGCTCTTTAATCTTCAGGAATTTCGAGGATAAAAATTGTGACGTTCAATTATTATACTATGCAAGGTTTTAGTGATTAATCAAGTTATTAAAAAATTACTAATTTTGATTGTAGAAATTGTAATTATTTAGAAAATTATTTGTTTGATTTTTATGTTTAATGTTAGAATGATTCGAATGATAGAAATACATAGATTTTATGATTGTAATTGTGAATTTTCTTTATGGTTGAATAGCATAGAAAAAATTTGAGAAAAATAGTAATTTTTTTATAGAATAAAATCTAATTCTAATATAGATAATCCATCATTTGTGATAAATTACTCTAAAATTACATTTTATCAAATCAAATGTTATAATTAAAAGATAATATTGATAACAATTATTGTCAAATCTTGATTTATTTATTTATTTTCTTGTAACAGAACATTATATTGACTTTAATCAATATTATCTTAAAACGAATTCCAGAAAAAAAAAAAA